GAGCCTGAAAGTGGGAAGACGAGGAAGGAGGCGGGAAGGAGGGACGCGTATACATCACACTAATTACAATGTGGGCACACGTAGAATATGAAGAAACATAATGATACACTCCAAACAGATGTCCAACGACAACCGCGTTCTGAAAAGGACCAGACCTCCATCCGTGTAAGAGCTTCCACTGGTCAAGAATCTGGTCATAAAAATTGCGGAAATCTCAAACGAGAGAACATGTTAGAAAAGAAGTCGCCGTCTATCCGTGTACCTGCTGCACAAGTCGGCATAGCGAGTCCGATCGCAAGCGGAAGCCGCATCTCGAGAATGAACGGGCCCCCATCCGGACTCGTTGAGCGAATGCGCGCGGCGCTGTGGCATGATTCGCATTTTGGAGACCACTGGACCTCCTTGTTGGCGATGATGGAAACAACTGTGCGCGGCACTAGAACGAGAGTCGCACTTTGAAAGCCACTAGCCCTCCATCGTTGTACCTGTTCGAAGACTTGGAACAACAGGCGCGCGGCGCGGCGCCAGGGTGAAAGCACATACTGAAAACAACAGGCCCTCCGTCCTTGCGGCTGCTGAGAGCTTTCTAACACAAACGTGCGCAGCGCTACAGCGAGAATCGCACTTTGAAAACCACTGGTCCTCCATCCCTGTAACTGTTGGGAAATTTGAAAATGAGTTCCCGCGGCGCCAAAGCGAGAACCACATTTTGAACACCACTGGGCCCCCATGCTTGTGCCTGGTGTGACCTTTCAAAACAAATGCGCGCGGCACTGACAGGAGTCGTACTTTGAGAGCGACCGGCCCCACATCCTCGAACTGCTGGAAAACATTAAGATTTATGTGCGCAGCGTCAGGGCGAGAACCACAGTTTCAAAATACCTGGTCCTCCATCCTTATGGCGGTCGGGATCTTATCAAAGACACGTGCGCGGCGCTATGGTGGGAACCACATTTGAAAACCACCCGCCCTCCATTCACGTAGCTGTTGAACACTGCCAGCACGATTGTGCACGGCGCTACGGCGAGAACCACCAGTTGAAAACTACCAGCCCCCTTTCCGTGTAAGCATTCATGATCATAAACTGCAATGAGCGGCGTGATGAAACGCCCGCCGCAGCCTGCGCACACCTCTGGTGGTGCGACAGGGGGAGTTGCTTATAAGGAAAAGGGGCTTGAGGAGGAAGAGGAAGAGGAGGAGGAGGACCAGTGTAAACCCAAGAGCCACCAACGATGTTGGAATCAACCCTTCCCCCAAGCTCCCTCTCCACAAGTCCCGACAAAGGTCCGTTTCCATTGAAGGAATTGCCTCGTTGGGAGACAACCGTGAAGACCTTGAAGCAAGCCAAAACATTGTTCTCGGGATTTCCGTCACGGATCAACCTGGCTGCTGCGTCCTGACGATCTGGAATCGTGCCAGAACACAATGTTTGTGACTTCCGCACCGCGATCCAACATAACTGTTGCACCCGCGTAACCCTTATACCTTCGAACGCACCATTTCTGGTACGTTGATCATGGGGATCCGTGAATCTCTTGATCCTGTTCGAAACGAATGTACGCGGCGTCAAAGCGAGAAACACATTTTGAAAAGGAACCGCCCCCAATCCGTGATTAAACACATAATTAAAAACAAATGTGCGCGGCGCTAAAGCGAGTGAAGCTCTTGCATTAATGGTATATGTGTACATATATTTATGTAGATGTAAAAAATGCGCGCAGCGCTGAGACGACAACCACATTTTGCAAAGGACCCGCCCTCAACCCGTGAACGTCTTGCAATTGTTTAAAGAATGCGCGAGGCGCTAAAGCGAGAACCACATTTTGAAAACGACCCGCCCTCAATCCGTGAAACTCTTGCATTTTTTTTATTTTTTAAACTAGAAAAAACGAATGTGCGCGGCGTTAAAGCGAGAACCACATTTTGAAAACCACCCGCCCTCAATCCGTGAAGCTCTTGCAATTTTTCAGAAAGAATGTGCGCGGCGCTCAAGCGAGAGCCACATTTTGAAAACGACCCGCCGTCCATCTGTGAAACTGCTGCCATTTTTGAAGCTTCAGAACCATCAGTGGTGAGGACGTCTCAGGCGAAACGCCCGGCCCGCCCTAAAAACTGACCTCGGGGTGCGACAGAGAAAAAATATTTGTAAGGAAAAGGAATGAATAAGGAGGAGGAAGAGGAGGAGGAGGAGGAGGAGGAGGAGGAGGAGGAGAAGGAGGAGGAGGAGGAGGAGGAGGAGGAGGAGGAGGAGAGAGGTCCTCCCCTCCTCCTCGCTCCCCTTGCCGTCCGAGTTGTCCTGGATTGTGATCGAAGCGCCTCCGGGGGCCGTCACGTTCTCCGCGGCGAGCGTCATGACGCCGTTCTTTTCCACCTTCGACACCGTGAACTCCACCTGCACGTCCTCTTCCTCCCCCTCCTTCTTCTTCTCCTCCTCCTCCTCCTCTTCCTCCCCACCTCTTCGTAGTCCTCGTCCTCCCCACCTCCTCGTCTCCTCCTCTTCTCCCCCCTTCTCTTCCTCCTCCACGTTCTCGCACTCGGATGTCCGAAGGCCACAGAGAGAGGGCCCGAACTCGTCCAGGAGCACCAGGAGAACGCTTCACGCCCCCCCCCCCCTTCAGAGCTTCCCAAAACCGAGGCCGCAACCTCCAGGACCAGCCTCCCGAATCTTCATGGAGGAGGGACAGCATCCCCAGAAGGACACACTGCATAATCAAGAACATATTGAGCTGGTCAAGCAGAACCATTTGGAACTCATCCCTAGGACAAGAAGAACCAACTGCATAAACAAAACCGTTCAGTCATCATTCCATGAAGGGGAACAACCACTGCAACCAGAGGACATCATTCCTAGAGAGGAAGGAACAGACACACA